GTATGACACGTGACATGACCATCTATCGCAAAAAAGATGGTGAAAAACAAAGATATTTCTAGTAAGTGTGTACGTATGTTTGATGAGACTTGCATGTTTTTCGGTTGATAAGTGGTTCATTCCGAATTGAAACTGGGGGAGAAAAGATATCTCTTGTGAAAATCGACCCTAGTAATTTCACATTGTCAGATGAGGTAAAATTCTCCGCAATAAAATATCCTCGTAAATTGATGATAACAGTATGCATCCCATTTTCCATGCATTTCTAAATATGGAAAATATGGTGATGAGTATAATAAATCTGGCGAGTTTTCATATTGCCACCATTGTCTTTCTTGTAAAGAAATTCATATTGCCACCATTTGTCTTTCTTATAAAGAAATTCATCCGCGAATACAATGTCATGTAATGTATTCCAGGAAATGTTTTATTTATGTCATATTACCTTCCATTCAATTGGGAATCTTCGTATTTCAGATTATAACTCTTTTAATCAAAGTTACCCATCAAATTACGAAAATTCCACTTCTAATCAAAACCGAGTCGTAAGTGAATGTACTGTAATGGTAGGATTCCTTGTGGCGAATTAGAAGAAAAACATTTGAATTTTGTTCTTGAAGTATACAGTTCGTCCAGTATCAATTAAGCATCTCTTAAGCAGTGAACTGAGGCATCCTGACGGCGAGCGAATACTCGATGGAAAACCTCTGGAGATTGTAAGTATTTATTAAAATAAATATGAATTATCTCATAATAAATTAACCAAACAATTGGCCCGCCCAAAAGGTAACATTCGTCGCCAGAATTAATGATATTCCACGAACCGCTGATTCAGAAAACATTGTAGTTGAAGACGGTAGTGGTTCCATCCAAATTCCTTATCCGAAGAACACAGCCACCAGCAAAATCGAGTAATTAAAAACCATCATTTGAATATTGAAATTATTTCTTAATACACAAGCATTTTTTTTTTCCGCACCCTGGTCATTAATACGCTGTATATACTGTATATATATATATATATGGATATTTAGGATGAACAAATATGTACGAGTGTCCGGAAAATTCAATAGTCCTGATGACTTTGTTACGTATTTTATACGACCTGTAACAGATCACAATGAAATCAGCTTCCATCTCACTGAGGTTGTTCACACTCATCTCTCGTTAACCAAGGGCA